ATGTGCGGGGCCATCGTCTCGTCGAGCGTTGTGATTCCGAGCTTCTGTAAAAAACTGGCCAACTTTTTTTCGAGCCCTCTACGCTGAGGAAGTCCCTCTTGGTGCCCACTGGGGTCTTGGCGAAGCTAGCTCCGATGTGAGGGTCTTTGAACATCTGCAGCACGTTAGCCCTGTCGGTCCAAAATCAAGTCGAAGCGGGGGTCGGCGTTCGCTAAGGCCTCTAGATCGTCCCGGACCTGGAATGCCCACGGTGTAGAGTGCTGCGTAAGGTGTCCCTCTGGAGTGCATCTGGAAACCTCAAGTGGCCTGCCCATTTCCAAGGTCCCGAAGATAGCGGTGAGGGTTTGCCGATGATTGCTAGGCTCCTGTGCTACTTGCTGCCGCCATCGGAGTCGCTGCACTCGGAGCTCTGTGGCAGTACGGCTGACGTTCCAGTATTCGAAAACTTCACTGATGCTAAGTGTCCTGGTGCGCCCGTCGAACTCTCTTTTTGCTTTCCCGTGCATCAGGCAACGTAGCATCTTCACCCAACACTGTGTCCAACTGGCTGGTAAAAGACGCGGGTAGCACGAACGCCGTTAGGCCAGTGATGGCGGCGCTGTATACGAAACACAGAAAAAAAGGGTGCGTAGCAGTCGGTGATGGAGGGGCTGGTGCTAAACTTCTCCCAACGATCTCCATGCGGCCTTGGCTCCTCTGATGCGCGCCTTCAGCTCGGCCCTCAAAACTCCGTCGGAACTCGTGATAGGCACCAAGACTCTGACTTCTCGACAAACCTCTCCCTGGATTTTTTCTGTCTGGATAGTTATCGTGCTGCTTCGAACGAGCCGTGGCCGTAAAAACTGATGAGATGGTTTGTCTTGTCCTTGTTGAGGACGTGACCGTTCTTGGCGATGTGCTCCTGAAGTCCCTGGGTGGCGTGATTAAGCTGCTGTGTGATGTAGCTTGCTTGTGGTGCATATGCGTGAATATGTAGCCGTGATACGTCATCTACAACTAGCCCGATGCCAACGTCGACCCGAACTCGAGTAATGGGGCGCCGACATCGGCGAGGTTGTCATTCCAATCCTTCACGGTGGGCGAATAAATGTCCACGAAATCGCCTGCCGCCAAAGAGTGACCCATGGTCGTGCCGCGCTCCGGGTGAAAATCTGCTGTGCTGTCAATGGCATCAATGTGTGCGGTTGCTTGCAATACTGCTTGGTCTGCTAAATGTACGTCTTCTGTTCTGTATGTGCTGCTGTGTAGATATGTGATGCTGTTCTTTTGCGTGCATGCGAATGCATTCGTGCCGTCGTAGTTGCTGGCAGTGTGCCCGAGCTTTGCTTGCCTGCGTCTCCAACTTGCTGCTGCTGAGCTTAGAATGCATCCTTCTCGTCTCCGTCCCCTCAAACCTCCGCGCGCAAAATCTGGCGGGCGTGGTCTTCTGGAAATCCTCCGGAGGTACCCGGAATAGCTCATTCCAAACGCATCGCAGCAGTGGAGGACCCTTTGGCCCTTGATGCCCTGCTTCTGGTTGTTCTTGTTCTGGGAGAATGCCAGACTACGAATGCTGCTGAGGGGTGCCGAGCCTACGAGTCTAATGGGGGGCCAACACGTCGTTGCACCTTCTTGAAAACGCTTCGGGCACAAACTATCGGTCGTTGTCATTTCGGTATCTCTTCGGGTCGATGCACGTACAGAGTGCCTCTGCGAGTACTCCCCATGATGGTCCTGCTCGTCGTTTTGGGGCCCGTTTGAGATAACTCACTTGACCTGCACGATCCTGCTGAATCCTATCGATGATGTCGGGCGAGCCGTAGAGGTGGGGGAGGGGCGCTCGGTCTGTTAGCCATTCGCCCCACTGAACACGCTCGCGCTGCATGCCGCCGTCTTCTGCTGCCTGCGCGAGCCCCTCCTCCCACTGCTGAATTGTCATACCCTCGCGGGGGGCGAGGATGAATCTCTTCTTCGGTCCTCGACCTGTATTCGAAAGGTCGCACTCGGAGTCGGTGAACTTCGGCGAGCCTCCTTTTCTTCCAAGCCGTGTTGATCTCCTGCACTATGGCCATCGTTTTCTTCGACTTCTGCTCTCTCCTGACGTGCTGGAGCTGTCCCGACAACCGGTGCAGCCTGGCCTCGATGCGGTCGAACTCCGTGGATCCGTCGCCGTCGAACGCCTTGGAGCCCGTCTGGTGTACTGCTTCGCGTAAGCGCCCTCTCTCTTTCAACAACACGACCCGTTCCTGTCTCATCTGCTCGCACTCCGCCGTGTCGTGTGCAACTTTGGGGAAGCTTTCTGCCATGGCCTGCCGTATGCAGGACGATGACCTGTCCCAGCACCCCTGCACGTCGCCCTGGTCCCACTTGCTGCGCCACTCTTCTTCGCTGATGCGATTGGCGTGCTGCTCGACTTTCTGCAGAAACTCCACCCGACGAAAACCATCGCTGTATGCCACCATCATGCTGTCACTATTCGCTGGTGGCGTCAGCTTGGGGATGTGGGCGCGAGTGACGTGGATGTCCATGTTCGCACAGGCGGGGGCGTGGTCGTGCAAGCGCGTGCTGACGTACCTTTGTAGCCGTCGTGCGAGTCCGAACAATGGGTGTAGCTGCCGAATGCGTCCGACGCTCTCGACAGGCATCGCAATGTGGTATATCTTGCTCTTGTGCGTGCCTTTGTAGTAGGTGGGTCCTGTGGGCCAAAAAGTGTCGGCCATGGCCAAGTAGCTGCCGAGAAGGAAGTCCCGCACCTGCGCACTCGTGTTGCTCTCGATTGCGGGCTCTTTGATTCCGACGTTCTCCGACTCAGTCTTATCTCTTCGCCCAGTGAGGTCGGTTTGCCACCCAGAGCCACAATTGCAGTCGCCTGCGATGATCGGCAGGCAAGAACTGCCGAGCTTAGCGATTTCTCTCTCAATCCACTCCAGGATACGTTTTGTTGTTGCCCTCAACGTTGCTACTGCCAGCCCCTTCGGAGGGATGTATATGGGGAACATCGCCAAGCTTGTACTGCCAAGGTTAAGCTGCGCCATCGCCACCCGTCCTGTGATACCCAAGTGCGGCGGCGGTGTGGCAACTCTCAGCAATGTTCCTCGAAATCGTTTTACGTATACAATATTCAGTCCACACGAGTTGTTGGTACTCCCCGAGCGTCGCCATCCGAGGTTCACTGTCTGATGATGCGGGAACTGGCACTTGGTCATGTCCGCTTCTCTTGCTGCCCGTCCTGTGCCGATGGCGACGAAGAGGTCAACGCTTTCGACTGCAGAGCAATCTCTTCCAATCGAGTAAAATCTGCCCGTTGAACATTGTGATACATCAACTTCATTAAACGGAAGTGTGGGGGGAGTGTGGGTGTCCTGCTGTTTTTTTTTCGCTGCCGCCCGAGTGGCACCGTCCCTCTGCTCTGCCCTGGCTTCCTGCACACAGAGATGTGGCGTGCGGGGCTGGCCTCGGGTGGAGCTCGCGGGCGTTTGTGTCTGGGCGGCTCCTGGAGGAGGAGGAGGAGGAGGAGGAGGTGGAGGAGGAGGAGGCCCTGCCAGGGAGCCCTCTGGGAGGCCCCGCCAGGGAGGTCCCGCCAGGGAGGAGTACGAGGAGGAGGAGGGGGAGGACGCATCGCCAGGGAGGAGGACGAGGAGCAAGCTATTCGCTCAACCCCTTCTGGGGGGGTCCCGCCAGGGAAATGATAGAAGAAGATGGAGAAGGCGAGGGCGGGTGGCAGACAAGAAGCAATGTAACCCCGTAGCATCCTTATGTGGGGAACTCCGTTAGCATAATTTTTCATTCTTCAATGTTCCCCCTGAAGAGCAGCCCTCCTGGGGGAGGACCCCCCTCCCCCCACGCCGCAAGAGCACCGAGATCCTCCTTCCTCCCTCCCTTTCCCTCCTGCTTCCTCCTCCTCCTCCGCCTCATCCTGCTCATCCTGCCCCTCCTGCTCCTCCTGCTCCTCCTCCTCCTCCTCTCCCTCATCTGCTTGTTCTTCCTCCCTCTGATCCGCCTCTTCTTCTGCTCCCTCCTCCTCCTCATCCTCCTCTTCCTTTTACGTGCTCTAAGACGGAGCCAGAAAGAGGATGCATTAGGATGAATACACATTGAGGATCTCCGAGATCTGGCAATTCTGGAGAATGTATCGGGCGTCGCGGCCTTCTCAGAGCGTTCTGGAATGTTCTGAGAGCGTTATGGAACGCACTGGAAAGATTTATCCTCGTCCTAGTCCCGTCCTATACATTCCTCCTCATCAGCCGAACGGCCCCCGAGGTCGTTTCAGAAGCCTCTGGAGGTCCCCTGGGGAGCGTCTGAAGGTCCCCTGGAATGAATCAGGAAAGCTCCGAGCCTCCTCCTGCTGCTTGCTGCTCCTCCTCCTCCGATCCGCAGGAGGAGGAGGAGGAGGAGGAGGAGGAGGAGGAGGAGGAGGAGGAGGATCGGGCGAGGCTGGAAGATTGGCCTGGTCACTCCCAACCCTTCTTCCATCCTTTCCTTTCCCCTTCTTTCCTCCCTCCACCCATTCAACAACCCATCCTCATCCTACGTAGGAATCCTGCTCCTGCTGCTGCTGCTGCTCCTCCTCCTCCTCTTTCTCCTGCCTGCCTGCCTGCCTGCCTGCCTGCCTGCCTGCCTGCCTGGGCAAGCGCTCCAGGCAGGCACCCCAGACATGCACTCCAGGCAGGCGCCCCAGGCGGGCCCCCCCAGGCAGGCACCCCCAGGTAGGCACCCCAGGCAGTCACCCCCAGGCCTCCCCGCGGGACGCACTAGAATAGAATACCCCCTGCGGGAAGCAATACAAGTCAATACCACCTGCGAGAGACGGTGATCTACTCCCTGCGGGAGGCAACACAATTCAATACCCCCTGCGGGAGACGGTGCAATGCTCCCTGCGGCAGGCAATGCAATACCAAGACTTCCCGAGGGAGACGGTGCAATACTCCCTGCGGGAGGCAAAGCAATGCAATGCTCCCGCGGCGCCCAGCGGCGCCCCACGGGCGGCCGCCCGCGCGCGCGGCGGCGCGCGTGCCGACCGCCTCGAACAGCGACCGGATGTCGGAACACGTGCTGGACTCGTAGCAGCCCCGGTCGTGCCACCTCCCGCGGGCGAGCGCGCCCCGGGCGTATAATTACTCGCTACCGACCCCGCTCCCGGTCCTGCTCCTCCAGCAGAGCAGGAGGAGGAGGAGGAGGAGGCGGATGATGATGCTGCTGCTGCTGCTGCTGATGATGATGACGATGCTGATGATGCTGATGCTGATGCTGCTGCTGACGATGATGCTGATGATGATGATGCTGAGGATGAGGATGAGGATGATGATGATGATGATGATGATGATGCTGCTGATGATGATGATGCTGCTGATGATGATGATGATGATGATGATGATGATGATGATGCTGCTGCTGCTGCTGATGCTGCAGATGAAGATGATGCTGATTATGCTGCTGATGATGCGGGTGATGCTGCTGCTGATGATGCTGATGCTGATTATGATTATGATGGTGATGCTGATGCTGCTGCTGATGATGATGAGGAGGAGAAGAAGGAGGGGAGGAGGCGGAGGCGAAGGCGGAAGGGGAGGTGGAGGAGGAGGCGGAGGCGGAGGCGAAGGAAAGAGAAGAGGAAGAGGAAGAGGAGGAGGAGGAGGAGGAGGAGGAGAAGAGGAGGAGGAGGAGGAGGAGGAGGAGTAGGAGGAGGAGTAGGAGAGGAGGAGGAGGGAGGAGGAGGAGGGGGGAGGAGGCGGGAGGCGGAGGGAGGGGGAGGGGAGGATTCGGAGGATGATGAGGAGGCGGAGGAGAGGAGGAGGAGGAGAGGAAGAGGAGGAGGAGGAGGAGGAGGAAAAGGAGGAGAGGAGGAGGAAGAGGAGGAGGAGGAGGAGGAGGAGGAGGAGGAGGAGAGGAGAGGAGGAGGAGGATGAGGAGGAGAGAGGAGGAGGAGGAAGAGGAGGAGGAGGAGGAAGAGGAGGAGGAAAGGAAGGAAGGGAGGGGAGGAAGAGGAAGAGGATGAGGGAGAGGAGAGGAGGAAGAGGAGGAGGAGGAGGAGGAGGAGGAGGAGGAGGAGGAGGAGGAGGAGAGGTGGAGGTTGAGGCGGAGGCGGAAGCGGAGGTTGAGGCGGAGGCGAAGGCGGAGGAAAAGGAGCCGGGCGACGACGCTGGCGTCGACGACAGGATTCATTGCACAAGGCTCCTCCCGCTCCCGCTCCCCCCTGCCTCTCCCCCCTCTCCCGTCCCTCCCTCCCTCCCCTCCCCCCCTCCCTGCCTCTCCTCCCTGCCTCTCCCCCCTCCCCATCCCAACCCCGGGTCGCCCTCTCCTGGGCCCCGCCCCTCGCGATGCGGCTCGCTCTCCCTCGTGCCTGCTGCACCTTCGCCCTCTCTTCCTCGCTCCTGCCCTCTGGAAGGCTCCAGGAGGGGCGGGCTCTGCACGGCAAGGCGATCGAGATCTTCCACGGAGGGCGCGGCGAAGCTCCAGCGGGCCGCAGCTCCGGCAGCTGCGGTCGCTGCCTGCTGGCACGCCTGCGCCGCCGCGCTCCTCCAAGCGCGGGGCCGATCATGGTGACACCCCCCCTCCTCCTCCTCCTCCTCCTCCGCTCCCTCCCTCCCTCCCTCCCTCCCTCCCTCCCTCCCTCCCTCCCCCTCCCCTCCCCTCCCCTCCCCTCCCCTCCCCTCCCTCCCCTCCCCTCCCCTCCCCTCCCTCCCTCCACCTCCCCTGCCCCTGCTCTCCCTTGCTCTCCCCTGGCTCTCACCCTGCTCTCCCCTGCTCTCCACTCCCCTCCCCTCCTCCCTCCCTCCCTCTCCTCCTCCTCCTCCTCCTCCTCCTCCCTCCCTCCTCCTCCTCCCTCCCTCCCTCCCTCCCTCCCTCCCTCCCTCCCTCCCTCCCTCCCTCCCTCCCTCCTCCCGTCCCTCCTCCCTCCCTCCCTCCCTCCCCCCCTCCCTCCCTCCCTCCCTCCTCCCTCCCTCCCTCCCTCCTTCCCTCCCCTCCTCTCCCGTCCCTCTCCCGTCCCCTCTCCCGTCCCCTCTTCCCGTCCCTCTCCCCGTCCCCTCTCCCGTCCCCTCCCCCTCCCCTCCCCCCTCCCCCCCCTCCCCTCCCCCCTCCCCTTCCCCCCCCTCCCCTCACCTCTCCCCTCCCCTCCCCTCCCCTCCCCTCCCCTCCCCTCCCGTCCTCCTGTTCCTGCTCCTGCTCCTGCTCCTGCTCCTGCTCCTGCTCCTGCTCCTGCTCCTCCTCCTCCTCCTCCTCCTCCTCCGCCTCCGCTCCGCGCCTCTGTCCTCCTCCTCATCCTCCTTCCTCCTCCTCCTCCTCCTCCTCCTCCGCCTCCTCTTTCCTCCTCCTCCTCCTCCTTTCTCCCCTCTCCCTCCTCCTCCTCCTCCTCCTCCTCCTCCTCCTCCTCCTCCTCCTCCTCCTCCTCCTCCCCTCTCTGCCTTCTCCTCGTCCTCGTCTTCGTCCTCGTCCTCCTCCACGACGCGCTGTTCAAGGAGCGCCGGCATACCCGAGTTCCGGCGTACTCGAGTCTTACGTCTCCCCGACAACACGGGAACAGCATCGGACAGGGACATCTCGGAGAGCCGGGGTCCTGGAGGATGCATCAGGTGCCGCGGCCTCCTCGGAGCGTTCCAAAACGCTCCGAGCGCGCTCTGGAGCGCTCTGGCACGATCCATCCCTGTCCCGGCCCCGCCCGATTTCGGTGGCAATTCATGGGATCCTCCCATGCCATCTTGTCCGCTCTTGCAAATCGACGCTAATCGACGCTAAATCGACGCTAATCGAAGCTAACCGACGCTAAATCGGCGCTGTCTCATCGACTCCCAAACGCTAATCGACGCCAAAGACGGAACTAAGAGGGTATACCAAGCTCCCACGACTTGCTACTGAAGGAGCGGGGGGGGGGGATAGGAGAGCAAGAGGACCTCCTTCCCGAGCGTAGCCAAAGGCGGGTGTCCCCGACGCCGGGTACACCAAGCTCGCACGATTTGCTACCGAACCAACCTGTTCTCCAGAGGCCTCCTAGATGTGAGGTCGGAGTGGATAGGGTCGGAAGATCGCGCCGCATCGCCGATACATCGGCGATGCATCGGCGATGCATCGGCAATGTGCCAGCGATGCATCGGCGACGCCGGCGATGCATCGGCGACGTCGACGTGAAGCAAATCGGGCTGCACATCGAGCCGCATCGGCGATGCATCGGCGATGCGGCGCGATCCTCCGAGCTCATCTGATCGGGGACCCCATCTAGGAGGCCTAGAGCGGCACACTCCTAATATGAGGATCTAGGATTTGTGGATCTGGCGCGTGGGCGACAGGCCCACGGATTGGGAGTCGCTTGCCAGTCGGTCGGAATCAGAAACATGAAATAAGAAACATTGGAAGTAGATTGGGGTTCCGCCGGCCCCCTGGAGTCGGGAGCGGCCAAGAGGGGGGTGTCCAAGAGGGAGGGGTGCAAATCATGACAGGCGGCATGTGCGCGGCCCAGCGGGGGGGCCAGCGGCCCAGAAGGGGCGACCTGAAATCTGGGGAAATACCATGGCCCCCGCCATGATCTCCCCCCCCAAGTCCGCGGACCCCTTGTGGGTCTCTAGTTGTGTGAGATGGTCCCCCCCCCATAAGGGACTCCAAACCGGAGATTTGACCCCCCCCCGGCCCCGGGGCACCCATGCCCGAACGCGCCATGGGGGAGCAGAGGGCCCCACAACGGGCCAAAAGCGCACCAACGGGCCCCCGAGACGGACCAAGAAGGCCCCGAGTCGCCGAAAGATCGAGCCAAGACGCCCAAGATGGCATCCAGACGATCTCAGATGCCTCCAAGACGCTCCCAGACGCGTCCACAAGGCTTTAATATGCGACCAAGAGGCGCCCCAAGAGGTCCCCAACAAGCAAAACTCATCCATTTCCTATCGGAAAACGCACCTTTCTGATATATACGGTCTTTGAACTTTCACGGCGTCGAAAACGGCTCCAGAAGCTCACAAGACCGCCCTAATACGGCTCAAGAAGCGCCCAAGAGGTGCCCACAAAGGCCCAAGATGGCGCCAACACAGCCCAAGAGGCGCTCAAGACGGCACAAGAGGGCCCCAATACAACCCCAAGAGGGGGAGCCGAAAATCCAAGCCATTCGCCCCGACAATGTCCCAGGAGGCTCCAGGAAGCCCCCAAGAGGCCCCCGAGAGAATCCCAAAAGGCCCCCAGAGGCCCCCAAGAGGCCCCCAAGAGGCGCCCCCAAGGCTCCAAGAGGCCCCCAAAAAGTCCAAAAGAGGCCCCCAAAGATCCCCAAACGGCTTCCCAAAGGCTTCGAAACTGCCTCCGCGAATCTCGCGAAAAGCCAGACCCCCTTCCGCCTCTCGCCCGTGCTCCCTCCTCCTCCTCCTCCTCCTCCTCCTCCTCCTCCTCCTCCTCCTCCTCCCATTCCTCCTCCTCTTCCTCCTCCTCCTCCGCTTTTGGATTCTTTGCGTCCCTCTGTTCGTCGGCTTCGTCCTCCCACTCGCTCGGGCCCCCTGCTCCTGCTCTACTGGCCATGTCGCGGGCGCACTACAGGTATCATTCGCATGCTCGGGTGACCCGCCCGCCCGGGTAACCCACCCGCTCGGGCAACCCACCCGCTCGGGTGACCCGCCCGCCCGGGTAGAAGCGAAAAGGCGAGAACGAAACAATCATGTGGTTCCTCTTGGTGTTTGAAGGATGTTGGCCTCTTCGAGACCTCCCTGGGAAGCTATGTGGTTTCTTGGCGTCTCCACTGTGCCAAGCGTTCGTCCAAGGGTCCGCCCGAAGCAAGCTTTCCCCCCCGGGGTCAAAGTACGCTGATAAAGCATGCCACGCTCACTGGGATCGGCGATGCACCGCGCAGATTGGACAACATGATCTGTCAGCACCGTACACGCGCCGTGCAACCGGAACGACGCGGGATTTGCAAGAAAACCCCAAACAGCCAAATCTGGCCTTCAGAACACATCACGAAAAAAACCGCCAGCAGCATCCACAACGGCCCACATTGACGCGCATCGACTCCCCAGGTAACTCAAGGGGTCGGCGGATGTGGCGCAACCCTAAAGAATCCACGTCCGGAAGTGACGTGCTGAGCGGCAGCGTTTTCCGCGGATGCTGTGACGCAGTGGGTCCAATGTGTCCAATGTTTGCATAATTCCCACATGCTGCATTGTGCTACATTATTATGTCCCCCCCCATAACCCCCCCTCCCCAGGGGCTACGCCGCATCCGTATACCCAAGGTGGCGACCCCCATTCGGGGTTCAAAAACGTACCAAAACCTATGTAAAATCGATGATTCGGGACTTTGGGCCCTCTGGGAGGCCCAATAGGGCCTCAAGACGGCTCCATATGGCTTCAAAACGGGCCAAGACGGCTCCAAAACGGCCCATGATGGCCCCCAAAGGGCCCAAGAAACTCCGAATACGTCCCAAGAGGGCCCCAAAACGACCCCCTAGAGTGCCTCCAGAGGCCAAATTCATGAATGTTCCTATAGTTGTTTGATGATTTTTCTTTCCTCTTTTCTCGACTCTCAGAAGCCCGTGGCCGCCCAGGCAACCGCCCACATTGCCCCAAAAAGGCGCAAACAGCCCCCAAGAGGGCCCCCAAACGGCCCAGGAAGGCCCCAAGACGGCTCAAAGAGGCCCCCTTGGCGGTCCAAAAAACCCCTGAGACGGCCCAAGGGGACCCCAAAAAAACCCCAGGGCGGCCGCGAGAGGTCCCCAAAACGGCCTCCGAAGGGGCAGAACGACGCAAAAACGCCCCAAGACGGCCCAAGACGCCCCCAGGAGGCCCCGAGAGGCCCCCAAGAGGCCCCCAAAGGGCTAAAAGAAAAACCCAAGAGGCCTTCAATAACTCCCCAAGAAGCCTCCGAGAGGCCGCAAAGCAGCCCCCCACAAGGAAGGCCACGCAACGACTGGAGTGTAATGTGATTCCCCCCTCCTGGGCGAACGACGGCGCAGCGCCACCCAGGTGGAAGTTGGTCAAGGCGGCGCCCATGATTAGAGCCGGCGCTGGAAGGGACAATGGGGAGGGAGTATGAAAAGGAGAGGGGGGGAGAGGCCCCAAAGAAGTCCCCAAGAGGCCCAAAGAAACTCCCAACAGGCCTCCAGGAGGCTCCCAAGAGGCCCCGCGACGACGTGACTGCACGTGCTCCGGACGTGCACCCCGCGAAGCGAAAGGAATCCACGTCCGGAGGTGACGTGCTGAGCGGCAGCGTTTTCAGCGGAGGCGATAATGCAACGTGCCCAATGTATCCAATTGTTGCATAATTGCCACATGTTGTGTTGCGTTATATGATGATGTCTCCCCCCCTCCCCCCCCGAGGCTGCGCCGCATCCGTGGACCCAAGGTGGCGACCCCCATTTGGGGTTCAAAAGCGTACCAAAACCTATGTAAAATCTATGATTTCGGCGTCCTGGGCCTCTTGGGGGTCTACGAGGGTGCCAAGACGGCGCGAGATTGCCTCGGGAGGAGCCACGACGGCCCCAAGACGGCCCAAGATGGCCCAACAAGATCCCAAGACGGTCCCAGAGGGTCCCAAGAGGACCCCCCAGAGCGCCTCCAGAAGCGACAATCATGTTTTCATTCGTTCCCCCGGTTTTTGCATGATGTTATCGACCACGCCTTTTTCGACGCTGAGAAGCCCATGGCGGTCCAAGCGGCCTCCCAAACCGCCCCAAAACAACCCCCAAAGCCCCCACGAGGGCCCCAAGGCGGCCCAAGAGGGCCCCCAGACGTCCCAATGGGGCCCCCAAGACGCCCCACGAGGCCCCCAAGGCGGCCCAAGAGGACCCCTGGAGAGCCCCAGTGCGAACTCTACAGGCCCCCAAGACGGCCTCCGCAGGGACCAGGCAGCGCAAGAGCGCGCCAAGACGGCGAGAGACGCCCACACGGGGCTCCCTAAGTCCTCAAGGGGCACCCCAGAGGCCCCCCAAAAGCTTCCACAAGGCCCTCAAGAAACCTCAATCGCCCGAAGACGGTCCCAGACGCCCCCAAGAGATCCCCAGGAGGCACCCAACAGGCCCCCCAAAAGGATCCCAGGAGTTCCCCCAAGAGGGGCCCCGGACGCGCCCAAATGACTGGATTTAAATGCTCCGAACTACTCCGAACAGCCCAAAAGAGCCCGCGAGAGGCCCCAAGGGCGCCAGATGACTTCCATGAAGCGCGCAACAGGCACTCGGGAAGATGCCGAGACGGCCGAACGGCGTGCGAAACCCGCGCGGCGGCAGACGAGCAGGTCAAACCATCTCACACCGACACGCCGCGCCAGTAGCATTTTTCCTGCGGCCGCCAACCACAGGCCACTCTGGTACGGACTACGACTTCCGGCAGGCAGGGCACAACAACCCTGCGTTGCCGCGGTTGGACGATGACAGAACATTTCGGGGAATCACGGCCTCGCACTTGCTGCGCTTCAGCATCGCACTCGGGCGGCGCGCCGGGCAAATCCAGTCTTTCTTCTTCCAGGCAACATTCTTGCGAATCTTCGGCCGAGGCGTCTGTCCGCAGGCGAGCGCGGCGGGCGCTTGCAGTCCTCGCAGTAGAAGTCGTATCCGCTCTTCAAACGCTCGGGGGGCCTCGCTCTGCATTCGCCGCCGTTTCCTTTGCAGAAAGGCCGCGTCTTCCTGCCAATGCACTCCGTGCACGCGGCGTCTATGACTTCTTGAAGAACTCCTCGTCGAACTGCCGCGTCGGCTTCTCCAACTTGCGCGCCTGGCGCCTCGACAGGCGGCTGTCGGACAGCACGTTGAAATGCTGCCGCTCGGGGGCGCAACCTGCGCGCGCTGCGAATTCGAGGGCTCCAAGTTCTTTCAAGTCGTTCACCTCGCTCAGCACGAAAACTTTCAGCGGCTTGGTCTCGTTGCAGCGTCTGCAGTGGAGAACCTCTTTCCCTTTGGACCTGAAAGGAGCGGGTGGCGCGGCCGTCTCGACCGGGGCCCGTTCCTGCGCGCGCAGGGCGCACCTCCTCCACGCGCCCTGGCTCAGCACCGGCACGGCTTGCTCGACAGAATCGCTCGTTCTCATGCCACTTCCTGGGAAATTGCCTGCTTTCTTCCGTTGGTGGCAATCGCGGCGCTGGAACGTGGCGTCCACCAACTTCTTGGACGACCTTGAAGCCGTTTCCTTCTCTGCCTTGGCCCAGCCGGCTTTCACCTGTTCCGTCGTCATCTCCCCAGCTGTCAGGGAATGCAGAAGCCACGGGCCAGTCTGATGCCCCTGAGGGAAAAGCATGGGCGAGTAGGGCTGCGTGATGATCAGGTCGTCCGCCCTCCTGGCGCGGCTGATGGCCGCGTAGCCCGTGGTGGCCGTGGACGAACGTGGCGTCGTCCGCGCGTCCAGAAGATCGATGATGGCCTGCGGAAGAGTGGAACCGGTGACGCAGTGGGCCGTGGCGGCGAAGTGCGGGACCAGCGGGAATCCCACGCGCTTCGCCATGGCCTCGAAGCCGGGACTGCGACCCCAAGACACTTCCTTCACCTTCACCGGGAAGACACCCGCGGGCTGATTCCCAAAGCGGGGGGCCGTGCTCCCTGGAATTCTCACCATAATCGCATCGGGCACGTGCTGCAGGACCAGCTCCGGCTCGGACCTCTGCTCGTTCACCAGCTTCGAATCGTCGGGGTGGAGGGCCCAGCCAGTCACGGTCGCCCACGAATGCTTGCAAGCTCCCGCCTCCGCATTCTCCGTGGTGGAGAAGCGCGCGCATCCCTGCGAAGATCGGTAGCAGGCCCGGAACTCCGTCAGTCTTGTTCTCTGGGTACATGAGCCAGTTCTGCCTGGCGTGGGCGAGCGACTCCTTCGACCTGCACGCGTCGCCCCGAGTGAGGGGGGCGTCGCGCGCCGCCACCCAGAGGAGCTGCTTCCCAGCATTTGCTGCCGCATTCGCCGCTCGCAGCGTCAAAATCCTGCTCTCCGGGGCGTTGTACGGGTGCACAGACAGCGCGTCGGCGAACGTCGTGCTCACCTCCCGCTGTCTGGCAACGCTCTGAGAGGCGACGCGGCAGCGCCGACGGCGTTCCGCGCAGCAGTCAGCGCACTCAAAAGATCGCATGTCCTGCCAGGGCCGACCCTCTCCGAACATCCGCGGCCACTCAGCTGACCAGAGCGCGCGGCACTTCGCCTTCCCGCAGCCGAGGTGCCCCGTCGAGGCCTCCGCGCTGCCGGGGCTTGCGGGCATCCAGGAGCCAAGCACATCAGTGGGGAAGCGGTGGACGAAACCGTACATCCTGTCCCACAGCTCCCCCGCGCGCGCTTCTGCGAGGAAGCTCCTCCGCCGCGGATCCGAGCAGCGGTGCGACTGGGTCAGTGCGTAGAGGTGAGTCGCCGAGTGCGGAAAACCCTCTGTCCAGAACATCTCGAGTATGCGGCCGACGTTGGCGGGCCGCTTCAGGAAAGGATTGTCAGCAATACTGGGAGTCCTCACGGGCGGTATCTGCCGCAGATCTCCGAGGAGTACCAGGTTCAGCCCGCCGAACATGGCGAACTGTTTCGGGGCGCGTGCGTCCACGGCCCACGGGTTCCCCTTGTCCCTCGTCGAGTCCTTCACCTGCCTGTGCACGGCGTCCGGCAGCTCCACCGACGCGTTCTCCACCTCGTCGATGATGAGCTAGCGCATGTGCTGGATTTTCGTGGGAAGAAGGTTCTCCGAAAGCTCCGGGTCCTTCTTCCCGCCAGACTGGGCCCCCGTGATAAGATCGATCCCGAGCTTGCTGAAGTTGTGGATCGTCTTCCCCCCGATGTTGCCTGCCATGGAATTCATTGGGGCGGTCCTCATGAAGTGCACCTCGTGCTCCCATATCATGCACATGGGGAACGGACCCACGTCCTCGTCGCACAACCACCGGATGACTTCCGACTTCCCTGATCCCGGTAGACCGAGAACGAACAGCCGAGAGCATGGCGATCCGCGCGGCTGATTTTGCTCTCTGGCCTCTTGGACGCACCTATCGGCGACGGCGTTCAAGATGCTCATCTGCTGCGGGTCGGGAGTGATCTGTTGCGTCTGGAGTCCTTCAACGGAACAGGGAGAAGCATAGACCGGCCCGGCTGCACAGACCATCCACACCTACATTTGCTTCACAACCCTTGCGGCTACGCTCTGCAAGCGCCGCGCCACCTGCCTGGGATGTTCAGGGTGTGTGTGTGTATATGTATGTGTGTTTCTATGTAAATATATACACACGAATGTAAGTGTACACGCACACATAAATCTTCCACTGTATTCATGGCTCGACGGAGGCATTCAAAGCGGCCCGTGCGAAGTTCCAGCAAGTGCATCGACAAGATCTACCCGCGCTTCCCGACATAATTCGACCTACTCCACGCGCAGAACATTAAGCTACGCATCACGTGCTCCGTGCAATCTCTGTGGGGGACACACTGCCTTGGGTGTGTATATTTACATGTGTATGCACCTACCCATATGTATCACACGAATGTACATGTGCACGCACGCAAACATCTCCCACGGTACTCATGGCTCGACGGAGGCACTGGAAGCGGCCCGCGCGAACTCCCACCAAGTTTGTCCACGAGATCTACCCGCCATTTCCGAAACCATTCGACCTACCCCACACGCAGGAACTGACGCTGCGCATAAAATGCTCCGCGCAATCTCCGTGGGGGACATGCCAGCTCGGATGCCGAGTACTTTCTTTTCGATAGCTGCTCCCAAGGCGACTCGCATGCCCCCGACCCTCGCGCGTGCATCGCATACAATTTCAATTCCACGCTTCCGTTTGCCCTAGCCCCCTCCCCCGTCCTCTCCGCCAACGCTGGATGTTCCTGGTCAGGTCTGCGTCGCCAGGGCACGGCTTCTCCCGCTTGTTCTGGCGGGCCGTCTTCCGCGGCGGCTCTGGGGCATTCCCGCGAGCACCCGCTGGCGTCGCGGTGGAATGCCGCAGGGCAGACTGGCGCTGTGGCCAGTGCAACGTGGGCTCGCTGTGCGGCGGGCCCCAAAAGGACATGCTCTGCTCCAGCGCTTTGTGCGCCGAATAGAGGTGCCCCATGTCCTCGCCAGCGGCATCTGGCCCTGCGTCGCGGTCGACTCGGCGCAACTCCGACATGGTGCTGCTGGGGCTGAGGGCAGGGGCGCGTCCTCGGGCAGCGTCTCCACTGGCTTCACGTCCTGGTCAACATCGTCCTCCTCGGCGTTTTCTGGCATCGTTGTCATTGTCCGCAGCGCGTTCGCCCAAGGGATGAGGTTCGAGGTCGAGGCGATGTGGCCGCGCAGATATTCCTTCAATGCCTTCCGGAAGCTCGGCGGGTTCTTCCCAGTGCGCGGGCGCTTTGGCGGCAAGTTCAGATGCCTCGCCAGAGGGGCAAGCCCCCGAGAAGATCCGTGCCTGCACGCCAGCGTCCACGGTCGGAAATACGCAGACAACACGGCGCTGCGGCGCTCCGTTGTCATGTCGGAGCGCGGCATCACGGGCTGAATGATGACAGGGAACGCAGGAGCATATCGAGGTGCGATGACGTACGTGCGCGCGAACTCCTGGTCGACTGGGCCCTCCTCCAATGCGAAATAACCGGCATTCCCCGCCGGCGGCTTCACCTTGTAGTGAACCGACGGCCGCGGAGGCCCGTCCGCCGCGGCGGGAGGATGCCCCACCCAATAGGTCTAACTCGCGGACGCCTTCGAGATGTCCCTGGGCGGCGGGCACGTCGGGACCACTTCGTAGAAGCGGACAAACTCGCACGGGCTCGACGTCTTCAGGTCGGCTGCACCTGGGCGCCACGCGTGCGCCCATGCCGTCGCGTCTGGTGGCGTGGCGACGTCGCCCGTCTCCGCGAACAGCACCGACTTCTGCTCGCGCCGCGCCGTCGCGCGACCTGCCCCAGTCTCCGCCGTCGCAATCTTGAGAAAGCAGCCCGCGTGGACGTCCGCGACAGGGCACGACGCGATGCATTCTGCTGCAAGCGGATTCGGCCAATCCGAGAAGTATGCCAAGTTCATTTCCTCGAAGATGGTCCGCGCCACGCCCTTGGACTCCCAGTCCCCGATGCAGAGGTGAACGGTGTTCAACGTCTGCTGCATTTCGGCTTCCCCTAGAGCTGCTCCGCCAGCGTGGACAGGCAGGTCTTCGCGAGCTCCCGCGCCTTCTTTCCGACGCGCTGAACTTTGGAGATGCACCCGCCAATGTAGCGCGTGGAGTTCGACATGGAGCGCTGCGCTGCGAAGGCGATACGTCGTAGATATGCCTCTCCGGTCTCTCCTCTCGCTTCGTTCCGACACGAGCAATTCGGATCGTGCGTGACGTCGTCAATCAGCGGCAACCGGTTGTTCGGCGCCGTGTGCGCATTGTCTCTGAACGCAACCGAGAGCGCGGGGCAGGTCCCGCTGAGGAACTCGTCATTGCGAGGCCCAACAATCTCCCCCAGCGCATTCCGCGCCCCGTTCACTTTGAGGCCCACATCCTTCGCCGCCTGCGGGCAGACCACGCGCGACCTGGGCCCGTCCGCGGGCGTCAGGAGCGATGTCTTCGGGAAGCCGTGCTCGCACCTATCTCCGTGCTTGCGCCCCTTCTTGATGCAGTGGGTCAGCGGCTTGCCGTCGAGATGATGGTGGTGCTGAACTTTCGAGAAGATCATCTGCGCGTCTGTTTCGTACGCATTCTCGAATCTGGCCGCGTCGTCGTCGCGCTCGGCGACGTTGCGTCCCTCCTCCCACTTGGTACTCCGCGCAGTTTGGTCCAGATACTTTGGCCACCGGCACTGCCCCAGGTGGTCCGACGACCGGAAATTCTGCCGCCACTCTGTTTTCAACGTCCGAAGGTTCGAACGGTGCCCCTCTGGGTCCCAGTGCTCTTCCCTGTGGGCCCACGCGTGCCGCGCCTTCACTGCGTCCGCCAAGCGAGGGGACTCCTGAATCTGTCTGGCAATCTCAGCCAGGGACGCGCGCTGGAACAAGTTCGCGAGGTACACGAAACCGTGAGAGTGGAGCGTGCCCAGGTGCTGGTGTTCTACTACACCGAACAGAGCAGCAGCAACTCCGAAAATTCCACCCACCGGCCGAGAATTCGAAACGAACCTGTCCGTGCAGCGGCACGCGGGACCGCGACGCCGTCGGCTGGCGACTCCGCATTCAGCGCATAGACGGACTCCCAGCAGACGGCCCAAGATCACGCTCACGGCGGCGCGGAAGCCCTGCACGACGGAGAGCGGGTCATTTGCCACCTCGCACAAACGGAGGTCGAAGTCAGGGAGCTCCGCGTCGACGCCCTCAGAAAGGGACGGCCAGTCCCGCGACGCCAGCCGCTTCCGCATGACCGCGCGCGAGTCGTCCGTGCACCACGCGCGCAGCAGCGGGTCGTCCTGACGTACTCTGTGCAGTCGCATGACCAGGCACGACTGCTTCTCATTCGGCGAGATGGTGATGAAGAGCCCGCGGCCGTAACCGATCGCGCCGGACTGGAAGACGTGGCCCATCCTGCGACGCAGTTCCTGCGTGCCAGCGAGGGTGCGCGACACCGACCGCATGTTGTGCACGATCTGCTTCTGGGTAGTGTCCAAACCGTGCGCCATATGCAGCACCGTCAGGTTACCAACAATTGGCCGCCTACTCGGCCCGTAATCTCCCTTCGCCAGCAGGTCGTGCAACCCGCGGACGGCCGTCGTGAGGCGCTCCGTGAAAACAGAACCGTCCTCGTCCCTGTACTTCCTCGCTTTGCTCCCCAACCTCGCGGCGATGCCCAAGAAGCGGAAGTGGACGTTGCGCATGCCTGGGATGCAAAGCCAATCCGATCGGATCTGGTGCTCCACTCGGCGACACATGCTTGCCAGCCACATCCCTATGCCGATGGACGGCCAGTTCTCCACTTCCTCGGGCTGACCCGTTGCGCGTCTTCGATGCGCGACGTCGGCACCAGTGCGCCAGGCCCTCGTGAAATCTGGCCCACCGCTCTGCCACAACAGCGTGTGCGGGAACGCGATCGCAAGGTAATTACTTGCCATGCCACTGCTCCAACATGGCTGCGTCGGCGACGTGCGGCACGACCGGCCCGCCGTCCATGGCTCGCTGCTGACGCTGGCCCGAAGTCCCTTGCCGGGACGTCGCATCTGGGGGCGCGCAGGACGTCGGTCTGGTATCGACGAAGACAGACGCGACGTCAGTGCAGGCCAGCGCCGGGGTCGCGTGCTTGTTCTCCTGCACGCTGCTCCTGGACGGACTCGCCACCACCGTCGCTTTGCCGACGTCTGGCGGGACCACTCCGTCGGCGTCCTCGGAAGTTCCGAGCCGCGGGTAGCACTGCTTCACGCGCCTCTCGAAAGCCTCCTTCGGGGCGCGGATTGCCGCGGGGTCGCCGGCAGCCGCTCTGCAGAAGGCGGGATGCCCGCGGTCAATGAGCTCCCAGCCCAGTCGAAGCACCGCGTGTGCGCGGAGGCGAATCTGCTTCAAATGCTTCGACATGTCTTTGCCTTTCATCCAGAATTCGAAGCGAACCAAGTGGGCCAGCGTCTCGCCGTCGCGTGGGATCGCCGCGGCTAGGCTGGAATTGTTCGCGACGGCGAGGAGGCGCTCCAAGACATCGTCCCAATGCGCCAGGAAACTGGCCAGATTACCGCGGACAGCGTACCGATTTTGCGGATGTATGGCCTCCGTTGGTCGCCGTGCGCGCAGCGCGCCACTGCCCCCCGTGCGCTCGTGAACCACCCTGCAGTTTCCAAGGGGGCGAGGGCCGAAAAACAACGCAGGGGGCAGTGCCGCGCTGCATCGCACAGCTCGACTGGTTGTTCCTGAGGTGGCCCTTATCGCCCTCGACGTAGAACGCCATCAAGCTCGTCCACACTGGCGTGGCAGCCGCCATCTCGATCCACCGAGGTCTGTGCGTCTGCCAGAAAGCCGATACGAACCCGACGAAGCTGTCGTTGGCGATGGCAGGGCGCGGAGTGCGCTCCCGCACACTCCGAGTCTTCGCGGACATGACGCGGAACTGCCAGCACAGAGGAATGCGGCACGACCGACTCGCACAGCTCATCGCCAACTCCACGCTGACGGTCGCACACCACGTCTTCCGGGCAACACAGGAACCGCATGGAATTCTCGCTCCCGTTCGGCCCCGTCCACTTCACCGTTCGCATCCACGGCGACGAAGGAGTTGCCTATGTCGGGTAATGGTGCGACGGCGTGCCGCGGTGGCCTGGAGCAGGGTGCGGGAAGTAAGCCGAAGGCGTACTCGAGGAGCTCACGCGGACAACTGCGCAAGAGCCCGCGCAGTGGCGTCCATCCAATCTCCGTCACTCCTGCGGACTCGGGGTCGTCGACACTGGTGTAGCAAAAGCAGAGCAGCGAAGACAAACAAGCATCGCTTGCCACTTGCCTCATGGAGCGCATTGCACCGCGGTCTCTGCATATGCCGGGCAACGGCATGCCTGTGCGCGCCCGGACCTCCACCGCCCGGCAGTAAATGGGCCAGATCCACGACTCCCGCTCCTCCAACACCTTCGCGTGGACGGCGACGTCGCTGGCGCTATCGGCGAGTCTCTTGTTCCACCCCTCCAGGCTGCGGGGAGGCAGGCCTGGTGGCAGCCAATGACGTGGCGCCGCACATCCCCCTCTGTCTCCCCCGTCCAGCGGCATTCTCGAACGGCGCAGGTGCAGATCGGCCACTGAAGCCCGCCCATCACTTCGCGGATGTTGTCTGCGGTGTCCGCTGGGTCGAACGGCGGAGGAAGCGTCGGGCCCTGCCGAAAGAATTGAGAAAGCCCGGGCTGCTTCATGGGCGACGTCCAGCGTCGCGTGCGCCACGTCCGCGCCACAGGCCAAGTGGTCCACGTCGGACTGCCCTGACCCGGCGGGGGCCCCCGACAGTTCAGACTTGGAGTCCGACGCCGGCTCGGAAGACGATGACTCCCCGTCCGCGTCGGAGTCCGTCTCGGGGGCCTTCGCCACTGCAGCGGCGCCCTCTGCAGATTCGCCCTGCGGCTGGGGCCATCCTGGCGCGCGGCGCGGCGGCCGCGGCCCGTCGGCGGCCCGCCTGCGCGGGTCGCTACCGAAGCTCGCACCCGCCGCGCTCCCTCTCACTGAACTGCGGGCGCCCGGACGACTCGGCTCTGGATGCGGCGGCGGCGGGGGGGGGCGCCCGAGCGGGCGCGCCGGCGGAGACGGCGCCAGCGCCGGCAACATGTCGCGCGCGTGGAGGCCGGGGTTCAGGATGCGGCGGCGGCGGAGAAGGAAGCGGCCGCGCGGTCTCCACCCCCAGAGGGTCGTCGAGAATACGAAGAACTCGACGACAGAAAACCGAAACGCCCCCCTCGCCGAAGAGCGCATCCACGTCAGCGAAACAGAACGGGTCGCTGAACTTCTCCCGGCAAGCGCACGAAGGTTCCCACGGCCGCGGGGCGTCCGTGCTCGTCGAAGCAAGGTCCACGGCGTCGTAGTGCGAGTGCCCGTCAACGTCATAGTGGACAAAATCAAGGACTGGAATTTGCGCACGTCCCTGCGGCAATCCCTGGCCCGGAAAGATGGCCGCCTGGCCCCGCGCGTTGAATGGCGCGTGCAGAGCGAGAGCGCCACAAGCCTCCAGGAAGCGCGTGGTCACAACAGCGTCAGCATATCGGCGCGTTGCCGACACGTCCTCCGCATGGATGCCCACGCATATGTCCACGTAGAACACCTGCGCGGTCCGGCGCACACAAACATAGCGCAGTGGGCGGAGGCAAGAGATAACGAGGGGGTCGCTGCGACCCCGCCCGCGAAAGCCAGACCAGTCCCCCCGAAGATTCCTTGGCCCGAGTGAACGCTTCAGCGCGGCCCCAGACGCCTTCTCGGCCACGCCCCGACTGCCCCGCCCGAAAGGCGAGCCTCCTGCGCAAGCACTGTTTGGGAAATGTGCTCCTGGATCTCTGGGGTTGAAGGCGGGCCCCCTTTTCATCCCGGGCCCGCGGCGCGACCTTCCAGTTGGGAAGACTGCCCCGCGCGGTGCAAGTGGTGACCTGCGCTGGCAACTCCCGCTGCAGGCGGGCCCTCCTCTCCACGGCGTGCTCGTCCAGCTGCAGCGCCTGGAACAATTGCTGATTCCGCTGCCTCGTCGCCCCCGCCAGCGTCCATCTGTGCAGCTTCCAAGCCGCGCGCCCTGGAAGTCCTAGTTCCACAGCCGCGGCGCGGGGAAAAAGCACAGCCCATCTCCGCGCGCAGGCAGCGCGGGCAGTCGCATCCCTGGCCGCGTTGCCGAGAGCAGCTCAGCGACGCGACCCAGCGACTCGTCGGCGCAACTAATGCGGGACCGCCTGATGGCCTCCCCGTCATCGTCTACGCCGACCTCGGTCAAGTACTGGTCGCTCTCGACTGCGAACTCCACGTCGCTCGAGCCCGCCATGGCGCGCCGGAGGCGTCGCCGCCCCGCGGGCCGACTGGTCAACCCCGACTACGGAGAGCCTCAGGAAGGATGCTGGAGCCCCAATCGAGCCCAAACATAGAGGGTGCCAAATAAGCCTGGCGGCTTTTTTGGCACCCTCCCTATGCACTAATTTGTAACAGGAATTCCTTTGTATTCCGCCACAAAGGGAATCCTTTTTTATTCTACTACAAAGGGAACCCTTTTGTATTCCACCACGAAAGGAATTCTTTTGTATTCCGCCACACAAGGAATCCTTTTGTACTCCTCCACAAAAGGAATTTGTTGTATTCCGCCACAAAAGGAATCCTTTTATATTCCGCCAAAGAAGAAATTCTGTTGTATTCCGCCACAAAGGGAATCCTTTTGTATTCCGCCACAGAGAAAGTCTAATTCTATTCCGCCATAAAAGGTAATCCTATTTGAATTTCTATAGATACTGTAAGCACGGTGTTTTCACAGAGATTCAGAGAATTTCGAATAAAACAATGAAACAACACTTGGTTTCATCTGTTTTGTCCTAGAGATTCACACAATTTCAATTGAATATGTGTATTTTTTTATGCCAGGCTCAAAGCTCGCAGAGATTTTAATGTTCCAACTATGCCTTTATATTATTATTAGTATTATTATTATTCTATTACATATATATATGACAACGCTTTGGAACCACATGTTATATTGGATAGACTAGCATTGGGCACCATGTGATTTCACATAGACTTTTTAAGAATTACACACAACGTTTCTACAAATTTGTGAAAGCGCGTGGTTTTCAATGCTGTTCTAATATATGAAAACAAGAAAATCTGTGTCAGGAAAATCGTTAACATCTCTGAGATCTCTGAGTCTGGCAATGAAAAAAACAATATTTGTTTATTTAAGAATATCTGGATCTCTGTGAAAGCACAGATGTAACCAAATGTGTTTACTTGTTTTATTTGTAATTATCTGAATCTCTGTGAAAAATCAATTTTCCAGTTTATATTAATTGCAATAAGATTTTCTTCATGTTGGAATCACAAGAATTCTCTTTGTGGCGGAATGCACAAGAATTCCCCTTGTGGCGGAAAATCCCTCAGCCCAAATGGTTGACAGATGCCGGCAGTGCCAGGTGGCGGGGGGCAGCGCGCGCGAGCTGTGCATGCAGACAAGGAAGGCCATCCATCACGATACCTCCATCGCCACGGTTGCTGGAGGCCCCCTGCGGACCGCGTCGAGCCCCCTGCTCCACCTCGCCCCGTTCTTCGCCCCTGCGCGAAGCCCCAGCGGCCCAGGGCGCCCCCGAGGCGCCCTCCAGACACGCGGGGGCTACTAACTCCGCTCCTGAATGGCCCCGGCGGGCGGTGGCCACACGGTGCCGCGAATGGTCCAGGCACGGGC